GCCTTCACTAATCCATGACATCTTATGGTAGTCATCAAACTGGGATGAAGATAACTTTACAATATTCACCTATTCACTTAAGCATCTCCATGACTATTGTCATTTTCCTATATTAATTTTGCTAGTATAAGTGTATGGCAAACTACTATGAACAAAAATGATAATAAGATGAACTCAGATGAACAATTGAATACATTTAAGATGGCAAAAACAGATACTCTGGAAATTTTGCTGTAGCAAAATAGCTTCCCACTCTGCTTGTAATTTGTAATGAAGTTCTTCTATCAGAAAATATCGGGACTTTTGGAGGCCATTGATTGACCTGTGGAGGTTCTAGTAGTTCACAGAGATGGTTGTTTTGTGAATGAAAACTCTATCTAAGCTCCAGAAATGACTCTGTTCCTACTGAAGAACAAGGAAGGAGCATTTTTCTTAGAAACCCTTGTCAAGAAGCATACTTCTAGATGTTTAACTGTCCTTGTTGTATCATGGGACTTCATTTCTGAGAAAAAAATTGCATAGTGCTCAAAGCACATGAGTGGTTATTGACTCAATAAAACAAAGTGTAGTAGCATTCATAAGTTATGAGTTACTTCACTGGCACAACATTTTAAAAGTAACTAAGCAGTAAAATTTAGAGAAGGATTTTCCCCCAAAACACTAGAAAATTTCTGAGTAATGAAAATTATTCTTTATGCAATTAGACATCCTCAGGAGAGTGGTCAACAGGACATCTGCTGACATCCCTGTGGGATGCTTGGGTATAGAATTGCAGCTTCTTGCACCTGTTCACTGCCACCCACTCATTGTAGAAACTAGGGATTTTTTGCTTTTCAGAAATACCATGGGAGCTCTTCTGCCAACCAGCCAGCCTAGACAAAGTTCTTTCAGAAATGCTGTCTCAAAGACAAGGAGAACAGACACTATAGAATAGAGCCTATATAACTTCTGCCCTCTAAGTACATGCAAACAAACATACACATGTAAGAAATACACATGTGCTCCCACGCTCCCACACTTATCTGTGTGTGTGCATGCATGCGTGTGCATGCACACACACACACACACACATTTAAATAAAAGAAATATCTCAAGGTTTGTCTGTGGGCACTGGTACTAAATTTGGAAAATACGGAGACTGGTTTGGGCCTGGTCCGTGGATGGCATACACAATTGTGAAAGATATTTCCTATTCAAAGACAATCTGAGTGAATCATCTTTGAAAACCAAGGCAGGTGATTAATAAATAAATTATGAGTAGTGAGAGTCAGGTAGTTCTTTTAATTAAAATCAAATTTAGAAGAGATTTACAAAAAGTTCTGTACAGCCAGGGCACAAGCTTTCCTTGCTCTTCTGTTGACGTTTTAAGGATTTCTGGAACATTATACAGGAAAGCCTTTGAGCTTTTTTTTTTTTTCTGTTCCTACAATGGCTTCAATACATGTTACTATTCCACAGCTATGTTCAACATCTGGATATTATCTTTAGGAGCCTTTAAATTTTTCCTCATTTTTTTCTTTTATAAGAGCTAGGGTGAGTTTAATTAAAAATCAACTTCTCAATAAAAGAGAAATGTAAAGATAATAGGTTTGATGTTAGCTACAAGGACGCTCTGAATTCTATAGCTATTGTTTGCTCGCATGTCTGTTCAACAATCTGGTTTGAATATTTCACATTATGAGTTTATTATTAGCACTAATTTAAAATTAAGGATTTTTTTGAAATCTGGAGAAAATAGTTTGTCGTCCAATAAAAGGACTTATGTTAAGTAATTTTAGTAATGAAAAATAAACATATATATTTGGATAGATTCAGTTAATATTAAGTAAGAGCAGATGGTCCACATATTTTAGCAGCATAAGCCCATGGCCCTTTCCTTCCTCTCTTCCTCATATATTTCCTCTTTTTTTCTACCCCTTCCTTCTTGTTTCTTCTCTTTTGTCTCCTCCTGATCCCACCAAATCTTCCTTTACTAACAGAACTTAAAAGATGTTCTCAATTTAGTGCCACCCAAAATTAAATCCGTTATTATTTGATGCATGTATATCTTGGGAAATATCTTGTTTACAGTGCACATGTAGACACTGGAGGTCTGTGGACACATTCTGGTTTCTGTGATCTCTTCCTCCTCATGTTATGTCTTTTATACTCATTTGGGGCCACAAAATATACTAAAACGTCTAAGTTCCAGTCTTCTGTAGCACTCTGGGTGATGAACACTCCTTCTCCTGAACTCTGGGTTGTGTCATCCCAGCTGAGTTCTGTGGACATCTCAGGTTTTGTGTGTTCTATCACATAATTGAGTCACTTGCTTAAACCACATGGATTTATTGTCATTCATAATTTAAAGGCCCAGACCTCTCTCTAAAACAGAGTGAAGCATGTATTTTCCATCATCACTAACACCACACTATATTCAATTCCCCAAAACACTCATTTATGTATACACAATTATAAATAATTCTTGGAGCTACTTGAGACGAATTTAAAGGCTCTCCCCTAGAGCTATAACGTTGTAGTGTCATAATTTGAGGACGTTCATATTGAATCTACATGCTTTCATTTATACCCTACAATTTAGATTCTAACTTTATTAATTATTTCTATATATCTTCCCTTTAATCTAGCTTTGTCTGAATGATGAGACCTTTCCAATTTTATTTTCTGCTCTACTTAACTATTGCAGGCCTGGCAATTACATTTAAAGTCTAAAATTATAAATGAGGAAAGGATTCTCTAACACATTACTTGCTTTAAGGCTCAGTATGTATGATATACACCCTGCATTGCTCTCATTCAGGTTGTGAACTCCTGTCCAAACATACCTCCTCTATTAAATCAACTTTAAAATTCTGCCCCACAAATTTTACTGGAGTCACCTGATGCTCACAATCTCTATGTTCCTTTGCTGGATCTGATGAAACAAAACTGGTAGTTTGCCACCTTTAAACAAACATATTCTCTTCCAAAGTGGAAGGTAAGCTCATGACCAAATGAAGTTCTGCTTACTAATTAAAATATGCATTTTAAATGATTTGAAAGTTGATTAGGATTATTCTGAAGCATATTGCTATCTTTGCTGATCAGAAGTATGGATGTCTCTGTCACTGTGTGGAACGTTAGAATAAAAACTCTAAGATGCTCCATTTTAGATCTTCATCGTTACCTCCGCATGGCCGTTGATTTTAGACTATCCTTTTGCTTCATCGGGAAAGCATCCCCTACAGTAAAGTAGTATGGTATCTGAAACAGTGATCATTTGAAAGTCAAAATCATACACACAGTGGTTAAAATAAGAGGATAGCTTTGTCGAGTATCAATGGGAGGAGAGGCCTTTAGTCCTGTGAAGGCTTGATGTACCAGTGTAGGGGATTGCCAGTGTGGGGACTGGGGAGTGGGTGGGTGGGGGAGTACCCACATAGAAACAGGGGGAAAGGGAATGGGATAGTGGGATTCTGAGGTGGGGGGAGGGACTGGGAAAGCAGATAACATTTGAAATGTAAATAAATAAAATATCCAATAAAAAAAAGATCATTTGCTGTTTTATCTGAGGACATAGGGTTGTATTTCAGCACTCATGTTGTATAGCTCACAGCTGTCAAAAACACTAGATCCAGGGTGTATTCAGACAAATCTGTAAATAATCAAATAAATCTTAAAACTAAACAGAGTTAAAAGTATCCAAAATAGAACACAGTGCATAATTTTGATTTTAAAATGCCTAGATTTATGGTTGAGATTTTATTGCATCATAAGAATATCATTGGTGTTTGTATTAGCATATTTACTGTTGCTACAAAATACCTGGGTAATTTATCAATTAAGAGGATACGTTAGGCTCTATTTCATAGAACCAACTCATGGTCATGAGTGAGGGCATCCTGTATGCATCTCAGAGTAGGAAGTGGCATACATATTATTCTGATTGGTGAGTGCAGATGAAGGCCAAGACAGGTAGCTAGAGACATTCACATATCACACTCTCATTTCAGAATAACTCACTTTTGCAAAAACTGACTGAGTCTATAAAAACAGCAACAACTTCACCCATAGTCACCTAATTATACTTTGGTAGGTCATATGTATTACACATCACCAATATCTTAATTTTGCCATTTTCAACACATCCAAATGTAGAGGACAGGTAACATTCAGTTAAAAGCAGGGCATTTCAATTTCATCCTACAGTGAAATACCAAATTTTATCTGTTTTTATATTAACAATGAAAATAGATTTCTTCTACTTTTCCACTACAATATTATTTATCAAGGATAGATTTTTATCTATCATTTATATATTTTTATATTTATTTAATAAGTTTGTTATTTCATATTTTGAATTTCAAGCAACATTTTGCCTATTGCTTTCCATTGATTATACTGGAAACCAAAATTATTTATTCATTTACATACATGTTTACTTACTTATTTCTCAGATGGTCATGTTACTGCATCTTAAATTCAGTGTGCATATAGAATTAAATTCACACATCTGAGACTAACTTGAAACTTTCCTAACCACATCAGATTCCTCTCTGAGTGAACATGGTTTGTAGTCTGTCTGTTTTTTCTGTGCTTTGTTAATGCTGTTGGGCTTGACAACATAGTTTTCTCTCCTTGTAAATAATAAGTGTGGACAGAAGAAGCCAGTCAGTCCTATTTACCTTGGTCCTCATTTCAACATGGTAATCCTCCCATGGGTTGCAGTGGGGTGGGTGCCTAGCTTTCTTTACTTTTGCTTGCTATTTTTATGGAATGATATGTTTCACCACTAAGATTAACATTAATTTATTGTTCTATGACCTCTGTATATGCAAAAGAGTTGGCATGATTTAGAGACTTATAGAAAACCAAGAAAGTAAAATATGAGTAAAATATTGTATCTTGTTATTTCATTAGCTATTTGAAAAGGTTTAGTTCTATGAGTATGGAGCTAAATGACACATGTATTACAGATGAGGAGAGTGTTAAGCTGATCTTCTTTCCATTATGTTTCTTAGGATCTCGTCTTCGGCAAGAAGACTTTCCCCCCAGGATTGTAGAACACCCTTCTGATGTCATCGTCTCCAAGGGAGAGCCCACCACTCTGAACTGTAAAGCAGAGGGCCGGCCCACTCCCACCATTGAATGGTACAAGGATGGTGAGAGGGTGGAGACAGACAAGGATGATCCCAGGTCACACAGGATGCTTCTGCCCAGCGGATCCTTATTCTTTTTGAGAATTGTTCACGGGCGCAGAAGTAAACCGGATGAAGGGAGTTACGTTTGTGTTGCAAGGAACTATCTTGGTGAAGCAGTGAGTCGAAACGCATCTCTGGAAGTGGCATGTAAGTAAACACTGTGGGCCTCATGTGCGAATACAGAATACATTCTGCTTCCTTGTAGCAAGTTTGGTTGTTTCTCACCGGTGGTTACAAACTATAGAGTAAAACATCTGAAATAAATATGCAACCTCTGCTTCTCTGAGGAACTATGGTTAGAATACTGACAGTATAGGGCCTGCAACAAATTTTTTTACTTAAATTTAAATAAAGTCAATGTAGTTATATTGATACAACAGGCAATACATAGTGCTATTGTAATTGTAAATTTCAGCTATTGATGAGATGCATAATTGAGTATCAATGTTACTTGTGTTAAAAAAATTAACTTACAATAACATCATACAATGCAAAAATAAATTCAATATTGCACGTTTCTGTTACTTATATATACACATATATATACATATATATACATATGCATACATATGTAACTTTTGAAGTAACACGCTCTCTTATCCTTTACATTATGGTATCTCCATTTTCTTATAGACCAAATCTAGAAATAGGTATGTAAGGGAGAATACAGCACAAACTACAATGATAACTTTATTTTTTTTATCTTTGACCTCATCATCACTGTTGTGAGAGTTTCTAATTTCTATTCAATCTTAACCTTCAAAATAAATAAGAGCTTTCTCTCTCTTTTGAACTTTTTGATATATTTATTTGCCTTCCCTGCCAACAATTAAAGATTTTAGTGTCTGACTTCTATTTAAATATACACTCCATTGACTTCATGGGTGTTATGTGATTGATTGTTTTGGTCTGAGGATTCGGGGAGCTAGTAACTTACTTGTTTAAAGGAAAGGTTTTATCTTCCGTGAATTGTGAGTTAGATGACAGCAACTGCTCAATAGTTGAGAAGGTTGTCTTTTAGTGATAACTGGGAGGATGCTCGAAATATTTGGACATTCTGTTAATTAAAAGAAATATGTTCTATATGGTATCACAGCAGATTAAACTGCTTATGTACATTGAGTTGAAGTTTGCAATAATATGTAATATTTTTGTACCTGGAAGGGTCTTTGAAATCAAACTGTTCTTGCCCTTGTTCCCAAGCATCTTGTCTTCTGATTTAAAGTTTGATTCCAGAAACTATGAACTAACTGATGTTTAAATACGCAACTTCAAAAACAAAAATGAGTGGAAGTTCTTAAAATGCACATTTTATGTGTGAAAAGCCATAAAATCAAACATTTGAAACTTTTACAAGTAATATGATTTCCTCCCAAAATATCAAATAGTTTCTGTTTTTTTAAACAATACTTTAAAAAGGACTTAAATATAATTTAGTAGGAAATATAATATGAAAACACAACTTTAAGAATATATAGTTTCTGGCTACATTCCACTTAAACATGTCAACTTTCTGAAACTTTTGAGTACATTGAAATATTTCACTGCTAAATTCTATTGATCCATATCTCTTTCTTGTGAATATGATGGGTATCTTCTTCCCAATTCATAAGCAATCAGAGAGTGCATACCTGCTAGATGATCAGGGTGTGGATAACAAGTTGAGGAGAATTTCAGGAACGGATCTTTATTCTTATAACTCTTTCTCTTTGCTGATTTTCTGCATTCCTAGAACACTACTAATAAACAGATTACTTTAGATACATGAAGATGAAAAAATTTTACTTTTTTCCATAACAGTTTTTAACTCAGCAGCCAAGAACCACTTTACATGACTAATTTCTCTTCAGAATATTAAAAAATTTTCAAAGTTGGCTGGTAATTCCTTTGTAGAAAAGTAATAAACATTGTTTTAGAGTCTTAGTTTTGTTAAAATCAGTCCTCAAACACATTCATCTTTACTTTTATTTTGTCTGAAAAGATTACTATCCCCCTATTTAATTCATAAATAATGAGTCAATCTCTTATAAGAGAAAAAACTAAAGCATGATTCTTTCCAATGTAATATGATGGTAGCACTTTTTAAATTTAGACACAAATGAACTTCAATAAATGCTTGAATTACTTACAGACTCAAAAGAATAAACCAGAAAGCTTACAAATTAGATTTAGCTAGTGAATAAAATTCCTTCTTCCAATGCCATGTCAGCAGTTCACAGCATTTGAAGCTACCTAAGGTCAAATAATATTCATTTATTTGTTCTTCTTCTTTTTCTTAAGCTTACAAACCTTCTATATTTTGCTGTATGTTTTAGTACATAAACTGAAAAGCTGAACTGACCAGCACCTTAATGTGCTGAAAGACAGGAATAAAGGAAAACATTCTAATCTATTCTCATAGTTCAGAAGAGCATTCAGGTGACCAAATTTAAATATTTTATAATAGATTAAATACAGAAAAATTATAGGGACAAACAATAGATAGTATGGGTACAGAAGGTGAAGAGTACTTAAATATTTCCAGGTAATAATATGATAAGTGTGTCCTAAAAGGGGAAGCATCATTTGATCTCTGATTTTTTAGTATTATGTGATGTCTTGGGTGGAAAATGAATTTGAACATCATCCTGGTACAGAGAATTGAAGTGTTAAAAGTACATGTATTCCTTGCTAAGTTTCAGCTATATGCTTTGAAACGTCAATGTGATATCAAGAATAAAATACTTCATATTATAAAATAGCTCCTGGAATTATAATAGCTTCCATTATAAAATAGCTTCTGGAATTGAGCAAACAAGACATTCTGAAACAAAGTTTGAAGCCATGGAAGTAGGTAAAAATATAGCAGAAAATGCTCAAGTGAGCTTTCAGTGGTAAACAATTTTAAAATATAGAGTCCATTTGCTTGGATCAAACATTAGTTGATCATAGAAAAAAATATTGGTACATTGTGGAGAATAGGTGTTGGAGTGACAGAGAATGTTACCATGACAAGGAAAAACATTTTCAAGTAAGGTAGGAAGTAAATAAAAGTAGCCATCGCTTCTGGTAATGTAGAGAGCACCTGGCAGGTGAAAAGGAGTTAGACTAACAAAAACCTGTTTTCTAAAAGGAGCACATGGGACACAGAAGGGGAGAAAAAAAGGAAGCTCTGTTTCAAGTATTGGGAACCTGGGGGAAACCATCTGAGGATCTACTCTACTGAGTGTGGGGTCATGTGGGCTCCTGGTCTACAAAGGGAGTTTGAAAGTAGCTCTGGACTTTGCCCATAACATGGAAAGACTTTCTGTCAAGTTTCATTGTGATAAGACATAATGACTGCATACATTTATTGTAAAATGATTTTGATAAAACTGTATATAAATGTTTGTTTCCCTTCACTTCACCTTGATTTTTATTTAAATGAGAAAATATTGTATCTGTCATGCCATGAAAGTCAGAATTCTGTTAATAGCAATCTATTTTTATTATTTGTATGAAAGTCTGCTGTCTATTCCTATACCATATTCTCTTACTTTCACATTTATTCAATTTATCATCTATCAATCTATAATCTATCAATCTATCATCTATCTATCTATCTATCTATCTTCTATCTACCTGTCTACTTTTCATCTATCTATCTATCTATCTATCTATCTATCTATCTGTCTGTCTGTCTTCTTTCTGTCTGTCTATCTATATTCAGCAATATAATGGGACAGTTCAGAAGAAGAATGAATGAAAGAGGCAAGCAAGCAAGCAAGCAAGCAAACAACAACAACACAAAAGTCATTCATGGCCAAGTATTTCCAGCTAGTATTGAATTACCCAATTACTGTTTTGTTATTGGTGTTGTGTGTTTTTGTTTGTTTGTTTTATTTTAAGCATGTATGAAAGGAGATTTGGAGCAATTCTGAAAGTCCTTTCCACTCACTTGATTCTGAGGCAGACCTTTAGTCAGAAAGTGATTTTTAATGGAACAAAAACACAATCAAAAGGCTACCAGCAAGAGCCTGGCACTCATGAAGTTAATAGGTGGTTTTCCAATGGGTCCCTCAGGAGCACCAGGCACAGAGGTGCAGATAGAATTTCAGTTCCCACCAAGGGCTGTGGTGTATAGAGTAGAGGAGCACCAGAGCTCCTCTACTTTGCCGGGGGGAGGGGGGCTGCCAGCCTGGTGGCCTCAAGAGATGGCAGCTGTAGCCCCAGGTGGTAAATATATGACAGCAGCTTGATCTATCGACCAAAGGAAGAAGGGGTGCGGGGCTAAATGAAAATTCATGAAAAATTGATGAAGTCCCCAGATTATTTTTTTTTTCCATTTCCTTTCTCTGTGCTCCTCTAGTGCTGAAGAGAGAGATTAAATGAGGTGCTGAACATTTTACTGCCAGGAGGTTGTAGTGCAAAGTTCAGAGGTCACATAAAAACCACTCCACATTCACACCCCCATGACTTACTTTGTAGGAAAATAGAGAACTTTTCTGATTACCTTTGTTTTGGTAATTAAAGTAGCTAAATATTCAAAATGTGGCTTTTGGGTTGACCCTAAAAAAAGAGAATGTGCATGATTCATAATTCGATTGGATGATAAATGTGAAGTCCACTAGGCAAGATGGTTTGCTTTTTCTTCCCTACTTCCTGTTTGACTCCTCCCAGTAACCCTCCCCCCCATTTTTTTTAATTCTGTGTTGTCCATGTATCAAGACTTAGGATACAGGAGCACAGTTCCAAGAGAGAAAAGGGCTCTGAATTATTTATAGGTCACAGATTGCTCAGATAGCAAAACTGCAGAACACTTTACAAGAATAAAAGTCCTGCTTGTTTTAAATCTAGGACTAAATTGATATTTTTATTGGTACAACCAAGAGTGGGTTTATGAGTAGATGGCTGTTGCTGTACAGGATTCAGGTGGCTTCAAAAGCAAGCACAAGGTGAATGGTGAACTTCATTCCTTCAAGTTCACAATTATGTAGCTTTTTATGTGCTTGATGTTATTTTGATCATGGGGGGAAAAAACCTGATCCAGGCAAAATGGTTTTATTTTTCATAAAGACATAAGAAAGGCAATTTAAATACAAAGGCAATTAAATTTAAGCTATACAGAGATCCTTGAATTCTTTTTTGTTTGTTTTACTTATGAGGCCATGCTTTTGCTGTGTACTCTA